AGTTGTGAGTGTGGTAGGGATATGGAAACAGTAGAACATGTAATAATTCATTGTGAAAAGTATGCATCAAGTAGAGAGAAGCTAAAAAGAGAAATTATGAAATATGATATRGAGACATTAAAATTAAATAAGATATTAAATAAACATAAAATAAATAAAGCAGTTATTAATTTTTTGAAGGAAACAGGACTATTTATGAGAATTTAGATCAAAGGGAGATACTSTGGTCCACACTCCAGCATAGTAGATGGCGATAATACATCTTAACGTTAGATGTCACCCGCCAATAAAAACAGAAGAAGAAGAAGAAGACCATTGCTTGGTTCCTGTCCTGCCCTGGCTCCCCTGTGTTTTCCGCTTACTTGTAAGTTTCAGTTTTTTTTTTGCCACCACGTTGGCCTTTACTTATAAAGTTTGGTTTAATTTTGAGCCTGTCTGCATTTGGGTCTATCTTGCCACCAAGAGCTTAACAGAATGGTCGGACCAACTATGGATCCAGCAGACAGTCCTGTTCTTGGGTTGKCCCCAGAGGAAGCTCTTTTGGTCCAGGGGAGGACCYGTGCTCTTATCGAGGCGGGCGGCCCCTCTGTGGACTTGTGGGCCAGGTGGGTGGCAATGGARGACTTTGTCTGCCTGTTGAGGCCCCACAGAATGAACAATTGACCATCAATAATCTGAACTATGGCTGCGCTGGCTTTGGGACTGGATTCTTTGGGCCCCMCTAAACTCACTTACTACTCTGGCTAATAATCTTGCTCWATGCAGAGGTTTTTCATAAACACCATAGTGTGTCAGTGTTGATATAATATGATGTTTTTGCTTTTTTTCCTCATTTTTCCTTGTGTGGTTTTTAGTTTTTCTGTTTGTCTAAAGGTAGCGCATCTGTGTTTGCTGCATGACCTGTTTTAACTCACCCCTCCCCCCTTCCCTGAATGTACAGCACCTTGTGAATTTATTTCTGTGAAAGACGCTATATAAATAAAATTTTACTTTACTCAGCTCTCCCTCCTGATTTCTAGCCCCGGGACGTCTTTTCAGAAGCCCTGACATGCAACAGACTCCTCCGTGCTGCCCTTCTTACCCCATCTGCTGGACCGTCCGTTGAGCCGATGGGTGCCCACTCCGCCGAGCCTTCGCTGCAGGGTAAAGGGGACTYGACTGCAGTCTCCCCGAGCTCTTCAGGTTGCCGCCGCCACCGGAGGAGAACGGCAGCTTTTTCGGGGCCAGTTCCGGTGGTCTCTCTACCTTTCTCCGCCGAGCTGATGGGTTCCTGCGACCCAGAGACGGTCAACGCCTCCATCTCCTGTGTTCCTGAGAGGGTCGACGCCTCCATCTCCTGTGTTCCTGAGGGGGTTGACGCCTCCATCTCGAAGCCTCTGCTCCCTGTGTGGGTTCCCTTGGGGAGAGGGAGATGGTGGTCACTATGTTCACTGCAGCCTTGGTGGAGGTCCTTACATACTTCAACTGAGCCCCCCTCTGCTACTGCTGGGCCTCCTGAGCCCTCATCACCTGCTGCAGCCCGTGAGGTGGTCCACAACCCTGCTGCAGCCCRTGAGGTRGTCCACGACCCTGCTGCAGCTCAGACCTCTACACTGCCTGCTGCAGCCTGGCCTCCAGAGCCCTCTTTGCCTGCTGCAACCTGGCCTCCATCGCTGTCTGCTACAGCCCCATCATTTTCTGGTCCTGCTCCAAAATCCAAGTCTTCTGTGTCCATGCTGGCCTCCAGTTTAAAGTCTCCAAAAGTGGCCCCTCTAGAGTCTCCAGGTCTCCATCCTCGTCGTGGCCAGGCTCCAGGTTGTCCACCAGAGCTCCGCCTCCAACACGGTCGGATCCATGGTTGCCCTCCAGAGCTCCGCCTTCGCTACGGCCGAGTCCACGGTCGCCCTCGCAATTAAATATACGCCTGAGGAACACATAATATTACACCTCTTAAAGTACAGAAGTAAATGTATCATTTTTATGCTTTGAATGCAACAAAATAAAAGTTAAAGTTACGATTAATAAAATATTTGGTAAAATTACAAATTCTCAAAAAAATGGCATAAGTAGTCTAACAAAGTAAATACTAATTACTGTACACCTCTGCCAAGGATACACTGAACAAATGTTAAAAAAAATGTGACTTTTTTTTGCTGTTGTGTGAAACCTGCGTCCCTCTGAGTAATACTATGATGTAGCAACTGATACTGAAAGTAATCTTGTTCACTTTTTTTAAACTTCAATAAAACATTGTTACACAAGACACAGTTTAGTATTCACCAGAAGAGACAGAGTTTAGGAGGATTTAAGATTAAGATGTCTGAGCTGGGAACAGACGACATGAACTCATCACCCTGAGTCAGAACTCACACACTGATGTTCTCTGATGACCTCATTTTTACCAGGTGTGTCAGGATCAGTTGAGTCTACATGATGTTTCTCTTTACAAACCTGATCTCTGTCGTGTTGTTAAACTCAGTCCTGTAACATTTTAACTTTGAGCATAAATTGATTATTCTTTGTTGCTCAGGTTTAYAAAACTGCTTTATTAGGGCCAAAGAGAAAAGTTTATTTGAAAATTGAAGAGGTAAATAATGATGGAAACGATGCGTGTGATCCAGATGAGGAATAGTAGTGGCTCGATGGTGACTTCTCTGTTCAGCCTCACAACTTGCACTGAGCAACCTCTGGAGGAGGTTTGTTTCATTTAGAAACAAGAGGAAATAGCAGGATGGGTGAGGCTCATTCTGCTCTAGACTCTCAGGATTCAGTTATACATCAAAATGTCCACATACAGATGTATTTCAGTCCAGGGAGCTAGCACTGAAATAGAAATACTTTGGACTGGCCAGCCACAGAGCAGTCTGTGCTAAAAATGATAAAACTTTGTGTCGCCATCTTGCTAAGTAGTTAGCTTTACATTAACATTAGTTACTGCCAGAACGACAGCAGACATCACATATTAGATTAAATAAACTAAACTAACATTTTGTTTTCTGTTGATCTATGCAAATTGCTTTTCCTGTGAAAATGTAGTGTGACTACTAATTGCTGGATAAACTTTGCTCAAAACTGAAAAGGTTTAATCAATAAATTTTTAATGTGAGTTTGATTTGAACTGTCTAGCTGTGGATTATTCACATTTCTATATGAATGGGTTTTCAATTTAGAGACAGTTAAATAAAGGCATGTTTGACCTTGACTTTTGACCCTGTGACCTTGAACTCAGTCAACGTCATTTTGGTTCATGAAGTGTCAAGCAATGTTTGACCCCGACTACACCCATTTTCAGTGGAAAAGAGGGGGCTTCCCTGCACATTCGAGTGGGAGGAAGAGCTATGACTTTTGTTTGTGCGTATACGCCAAAGTTGTCTGTGTTTAAAGGTTTCACTGGAGTCTCAGTTTTTTTTCTGTGTTTAAAGGAYAACTTACCCCAATTTTTTTTACCGAAAAGCTGTCTAGAATGTGTCTTCAATGTTATATAGTACTGTTTCTGTGCTAATTTTGATATTTTTGTGTGTATTGGTTGAAATCTGCAATATTTGGTTTAAAACCGTCTATTTGCTGCATACTAAGGGTTGCAGTTAAATTTACCCGTTGGTTTATAACTGTTGGTGTTTTCGTCACTTGTTCATGCTTTCGTCACGGCTGCCGTGTTCTGGCCTTTCTCTCAGACACACCCCTGCAGCAGTCATGGTCTGTCATTTTATGCCTTGGTTTTTCTAGTGTTACAGTGTCCCCCTGTGTTCTCTGCTCAACTGCTCCACCCATGCTCACATGTTTCCCCTTGTGTCTCCTCCAGGTGTTTCTTGTTTGTCCTCATTAGTTTGCCTTTATATTCTGTGTCCTGTGTTCAGTCTGCATCCAATCATTGTGCTGTGTCGTCCGGCCTGTTGGTTTCCATGTTTTTGAGTCTTCACCACGTCAAGTTTTCTAAGTTTTTTTGAGCTGCCTCGTCAGCGTTTTTGTGTTAATAAATCCTTTTTGGAAAACCTGAGCTCTGCCTGTGCCCTGGGTTGATCTACCATGTCTGAACCTGACAGATTGATCAGACCACATACCCAGCCTTCAGCAAGTCTTTTTCTGGTTTTGTGGATGATGATATCAACGTCCTGTTTCGCCACCTCTCTGCATTGCAGCTGTCCTTCTCATTTTGCTGGACCCCTCCAACGTCCCCCAAGTCACCACGGCTGGTTTTCCTCCTCTGGTCCCTGAGCAGTCCGTCACCCACCCTCCCCCCATTGCTGTTGTTCCAGTGCTGGCTGCTGCTCTTCCTGGGCTTTCACTACCCGAGCCGGCTGTTTTTGCTCCTGAGTCATCCGAGTCTTCTGAGTCATCTGGGTCTACTGAGTCTTCTAGTTCATCTGGGTTTCCTGAACTGGCAGTTCCAGTCCCAGTTCCTGAGTTGGTGGATCTGGTTCCAGTTCCTGAGTTGGCCATTCCTGAATCGGCGGTCCTTGAGGCTCGTGGGTCGGCTGTAGGTGCCTCCTTGACATCTTGGTCGGCTGCCATCGCCTCCACATTGCCTAGGTCGGCTGCCGTTGCCTCCTCATCGCCTGGGTCGGCTGCCGTCGCCTCCTCTTTGCCTGGGTCGGCTGCTGTTGCCTCCTCTTTGCCTGGGTCAGCTGCCATTGCCTGTTCATCCCCTGTGTCACCTGTGTTTGCCATCGTTGACCCTCTGGCTCCATCAATCTCTGCCGGTTCTTCATCACCTCCTGCCTCCTCCCTTGGTTCCATGTCTTCTCCCGCCTCGTGTCTTGGCTCCACGTCTGCTCTCACCTCCTCCTATGGCTCCATCCTTGTTCCTGCTGAGCCCTGTTTTGGATGGTTTCCTGGCCGTCCCCATGAACTTTCATGTTTTGTCTTCAAGCCTGTTTTGTCACGTGTCTCCCCTTGTCACATGTCTCCCCTTGTTGACAGCTGGAGCCATCGTTAAGAGGGAGGTACTGTCATGGCCTGTCATTTTATGCCTTGGTTTTTCTAAGTGTTTCAGTGTTCCACTGTGTTCTCTCCTCTGCTGCTCCACCCACACTCACCTGTTTCCCCTTGTGTTTGCTCCAGGTGTTCCTTGTTTGACCTCATTAGTTTGCCTTTATATTCTGTGTCCTGTGTTCAGTCTGCGCCCGATCATAGTGCTGTATCGTCCAGCTTGTTGGTTTCCATGTTTTTGTGTCTTTGCCACATTGAGTTTTGTAAGGTTTGTGATCTGCCTTGTCAGTGTTTTTGTGTTAACAAATTCTTCTTGGAAAGCCTGAGATGTGCCTGTGCCCTGGGTTGATCTACCATGTCTGAACCTGACAGTCAGGGGTTGGAACAGCTGGCACCGCATGAACGTCTGTTATGCTGTGTTCGCACTGAATGTGATATCAACGTCAGGAGCACCAGGTTTACATACAAAGTCTATGGTGGACGCTGGAGTTGGAAAATCGGAACTTTTGCAGCTCGAAGTGGCGTGTCAACCAGTCAGATGTGTGAYGCTGTGTGATGTAAGGTTAACAGAACAGAAGCCTGAGAAGTTGTCAAATAACAATGGAGGATGAACTGATAGTTGCTGTCTGTGCGTACCCGATCATTTATGATCAATCAAGCTTCCACTACCGGGACAGGAATAGAAAGAACCTTGCTTGGAGGAAAATTAGCGAGGAAGTCGGTAACTTGGGTAAATTATCAAAATTTTTACCACAGCAAATATTTTCCTGCATTGAGCTAGCAAATACGTCCAGCGCAGCTAGTTTCAAGCTGAAGAATCAATGTTTTCATTGAGAGGAAGTGTGCAGGAGAAGGTGGAAGAGTCTGAGAGACATGTATGTGAGGGAAAGTAGAAAGGAGAAGGAATGAAAGAAGAGTGCAGTGGTTCAAGGCTGCAATGTTAAACAAACAATGTTGCGTTCTACARTTCTCCGTAATCTACCGGGAACCAGCCGAGGATCGACCGGTCGATCGTGATCGACTGGTTGGGCACCCCTGTCTTAAATCAATCTTTCAGAAGTCTTAAAAATGTTAACACATTGTAAATAGGATGACTGTAATTCATCTCAAATATTAAAATAATTGGTAACATTTATTTTTTAAAATATTCACATGCAGACATTCCCCTTTGACATCACTTCCTGTTACTTCACATGCAAATATCTCAACAACCGTTCATCTGAGCAATGTGAAATTAGTTTTGTAATATGTTAATAATGTTG